CCCGCGCTCGGCCTCCGCCCGCAGAGTCAGCCCTGCGCCCCTCTTCGCGGTCACCCGCTCCCTGTGGGACATAGTTCCGGGGTCCACACCCATTTTCTTCTTGTTGTTTGTTTTAAAGTAACTTCTCTAATGTGTCGGCGCCTAGTTCCAATAAGCATAAGCCTGAGGCTGGAGCGGGCAGGTTCGGGGCTCCTGGCTGCACCCGGAGGAGCTGCCGGCCGTTATGGGTTGGCTCAGCGAGATAGACCACCGACTCAGATTTAGATTTAAGAGTCTTTATTAAGCTGGCCAGCTGGCCACAGCCCGCACCCTCCCCCTCTGGGAAGGTTTGGGGCGTGTGGCCCCAACCAAGGGTGCAGCATGATCCCTTATAGCAAAACTGTGTTAAAAAAAGTACAAAGCATTTCATTAGCTGGTCCTCAGAAGTTCACAGAAAGTTCGTAAGCACAAAGGGGAGGTAGACGGAGTCACACCTGGCTGGATTTAATCGCAACACATTGTTTTCTAAGACAGTCTAGCAGTTTTTCTCTGCCAGTTCCTGGCCCTGACACAGTCGGTGACCTTTTCCAGCCGCAGTCCCTCCTCCTAGCGCACCGCCTCCCCGTCTCTCAGGTTGTGGTTCCCCCTCTGGCGGCTGGGCCTCCCGGGCGCACACTGCTCGCGCCCTGTTACCGGGGGAGGTATCTCGTGGTTTCACTTTGCGCTTTCCGGTGGCTAATGATGTTGAACATGTTTTCATGTGTTTCTTTTTTTAATATATTTTATTGATTGTTTACAGAGAGGAAGGGAGACGGGGAGAGAGAGAGAAACATCGGTGACGAGAGAGGCTGCCTCCTGCAGCCCCGCTGGGCACGGAGCCCCACCCGGGCCTGGGCCCTGACCGGATGGAGCAAGGAAAGAGCAGGATTTAGGGGCAAGAAGAGGTGACTTCTGAGCCTAAGAGTTCTTTGGGGCTGGGGGTGACCAGAGGTTCTGCAGGCCCAGTAATCACCTCCCTGAGCCTCCGTGTCCTATCCGCCTTCCCCCAGGCAGGACTGAGGACGGGACAGCACAGCATACAGTCGGCACTCAATAAGCATTCACTCCCTGTCATTGCAGCAGCCTCATCCCATCCATCCCCAGGGTGAGCAGTAGCCTCGTGGCCCGCGCCATCTTTCCCATGAGGCCGGCAGCACTGTGCTCCCCTGGGCACACAGCCCCAGAGGACGAGAGCCCCATCGTGGTGAAGCTGGAGGAGGAGGAGGAGGCCACCCCCTGGGATCCCGGCCCAGAGGCTGCGTGCTGGTGTTTCTGGCACTTCCGCTACGAGGAGGCAGCAGGGCCCGGAGAGGCCCTGGCCCTGCTCCGGAAGCTGTGCCGCCAGTGGCTGCGGCCCGAGTTGCACTCCAAGGAGCAGATGCTGGAGGCGCTGGTGCTCGAGCAGTTCCTGGGCGCGCTGCCCGCCCAGCTCCGGGTGTGGGTGGAGTCTCAGCACCCGCAGGACAGCCAGCAGGCGGTGGCCCTGGTGGAGGATGTGACCTGGGCATCCGAGGAGAAAGGTGGGTGCCGGGGCCAGTGCGGAGGGGGCACCCTGTGGGGCGTCTTGGAGGACGGGGGTGGGTGCATCGTGCTGCGGGGGTCCCTGCCGTGGCCTCAGATCAAGGGCTTTGCGAATCCTCCCTGGACCCAGCTGTGGAAATGGAGGCCTCAGGCCCCAGCCCAGCTGTGGAACCCTGTGGGGGGGGGGGCACTGGCCCTGCCTGTGCAAGGAGCCCCCCCACAGGGAGCTCTCCAATGAGCTGCCTCAGTGCCCTCCGTAGGCCCTGCCCACAAGCCAGGAGGAACCTGACTTCAGTCCCACAGGCGTGTTCCGGGGGTGCCTTCCCGTGTCCCCCATGCGGTGGGGCTGGGCACACCGTGGTGACCAGGACACAGGCTCCTGAGCTCAGCAGGCCTCGGTCTCGCAGCAAAGATGGGAACGTGACGAACGGATGCGTGTGAGACGGGAACATGACAGATGAGTGTGTGAGGTGGGAATGTGGCGAATGAATGCGTGCGCGATGGTGGAGTCGAGAGGAACTAGAGGGCGCTGGTCGTGGGGCCGTGGAGGCCAGCACCTGGTGCGGAGCAGAGCTCGGAGGCAGCAGGATGGGTGTGCCAGGGGGGAGCATCCCCTGCACAGGCCACGGTGGAAGCCGTCATCAGAAGGGGGGGTAGGTCTACCAGCAGGAGCGGGGGCGGGGCAGGGCCCTGGGGAAGTTCCCTGGCTCAGGGGGAACCGAGCCCTGAGTTCAGGGGCAGCGGCAGGTCTGAGGGAACTTCCCAGACTCCTCGTTGGCAGCAGGTGTGGCTGGTGGGCTGATGGGTTGCTTTTTTCCCTTAAATTTATTTATTTATTTATTTATTTATGAAAGAAAAACATTGATTTGTTGTTCCACTTATTTATGTATTCTTTTTTAAAAAAATTGTATTTTTATTGATTTCAGAGAAGGGAGAGGGAGAGAGAGAGAAACATCAATGATGAGAGCGAATCATTGACGGCTGCTTTCTGCACGCCCCACCCTGGGGATGGAGCCCACAACCCGAGCATGTGCCCTGCCCGGGAATTGAACCGTGACCTCCTGGTTCATAGGTTGATGCTCAACCACTGAGCCACACCCACTGGGGTCTTATTTATTTACTTATTTATTTATTTTAGAGAGAGAAAGACATCAATTAGCTGCCTCCCACATATGCCCCGATCAGGGATGGAACCCGCAACCTTGGCATATCAGGGTGACGCTTTAACCACTGAGCCGCCCAGCCAGGAGGGGTGGCTGCGTTTGGGAGCCGAGTCCATGGGACTGGCCTCTGTGTGGCTGAGGTCCATTTTGCTCACCTCCCTGCCCCATGCAGCACCTGATGGTTTTTTTTCTTTTTTTAAATCCTCACCTGAGGATATTTTTTTATTTTAGAGGAAGAGAGAGGGAGAGACGTTGATGGGGTGCACGGAGGTTGGGGATATTTTTTTATTTTAGAGGAAGAGAGAGGGAGAGAGGGAGAGACGTTGATGGGGTACACGGAAGTTAGGGCTGAGCAGGGCTGTTTCCTGAATTGGAGGAGACTTGGCAGAATCCACATCAGGGCGGGTGTGTCGGGAGAGTGGGTCTGTCCTGGGGGCCGGACAGCCCCACCCTCCACAGTGTCAGGCGGGGACAGGCGGTCGGAGGACTCGGGGGCCAGAGGTGCGGGCTTAGCCTCTGAGGAGAAGGTGAGTGGAGCACACGGAGCCCCGTGGGGCCAGAGACGGGCTGACCCTGTACTGACACCCCTGACCCTGTGCTGCTCTCTCCCAGCTCTGCCTGCCCCGGGCCCCACCTGCTCTCCGGAGACCCCAGCTCAGCAGGAGGAGAAGGAGAAGGAGACGACCTGCCCAGCAGAGGTCCTGCCGGAGGTGAGGGGAGCGGCACCCCTTCCTGCTCTGTCACAGCTTCCCCTGGGAGGGACCCCCACCCCCACCCCACCCCCGCGGCCTCCAGGCCAGGCCTTTTGGGGTTTCCGAGCGGGAAGGGCAGAAGAGTGTGACAGAGACATCTGAGATTTGCTGCAAAATGACCAGAGTTGTTGAGGCTCAGAGATTGGCCCCAGCCCTGTGTCTGTGGCCCTGGCCAGGGCTGCTCCTGGCGGAAGCTGCCTCTGCAGGAAGGTGCTGGTGCTCGTGTGGGGTGACCTGGGGGTGCTTCAGGCAGGCTGTGTCCAGGGGCTCCCCGGTGGTGGAGGGCTCTCCAGCCCATTTTGTGGCTCTGCCTCTTGTGGGCAAAATGCCTCCCAGGTCCAGGCAAAGGGCCATGGGAGGCCTCTCCCCCTGGCGTCCTCGTGGGCCCCTCAGAAAGGACTGATCCCGGTCACAGCGGCCTGGGGACGCCCCGCATGGCAGCTGTTCCCCCACGTGGGTCGGCTGCCCAGGAGCGGGACGCGCGGGGAGTGTGGGGAAAGGTGAGCTGGACTCGGTGTGGGCGGCGGAGGTACCTGCCACTCCTGGTGAAGTTGGGGCTCTGCCTCAGCCCACACGCTTCCCCAAAGCAAAGGCACCCCTCCCTGCAGAGCAGGCTCTGTCCCCTTCGAGGGCTCCTGACCCTCCTGCTGAGCAGCACACTGTGGCCTTGCAGGAGCCAGTGACCTTCCTGGACGTGGCCGTGGACTTCAACAGGGACGAGTGGGAGCTGCTGGACCCCACGCAGAGGACCGAGTACCATGACGTGATGCTGGAGACCTTCCGACACCTGGTCTCCGTGGGTGAGGCCTTGCCCTCGCCCGCACTGCCCTCAGGACGGGTGGCATGGGGGCCCCGCGTCCGCCTGTGCCTTCTCTGGGCCCAGCTGGAGGAATGGGTGTGCCCTCAAGAGGCCCCTGCAGCCCTGGCCGGGGGGCTTGGTTGGTTGGAGTATCGTCCTGTACACCGAAAGGTTACAGGTTCGATTCTGGGTCAGGGCGCATACAGGAGGCAACCGGTCGATGTGTCTCTCTCACATGGATGTTTCTCAAGTCCCTTGCACCAGCCGGGGCCTGGAGCTGGCCTGTGGCCCTGAAGGGCGGGTGTTGTGTGCACGGGGCAGCCTCGGTCCCACGGAAGGACCTCCCTGTGGGCGTCAGGGCCGCACAGGAGAGGGAGAGCGGCAGACACCCGCCCGGTCTCAAGCAGTGTCCCCGCTGGGCTGCATGACTGCTTCTCTCAGTCGCTCCCCAGGTTGCAAGACTGCACTTGGGGGAGACCGTCCCCAGCTTTGCCCTGGCCGGGGGTCTCAGTTGGGGGGAGTGTTGTCCCGCACGCCGAAAGGTTGCGGGTTCAGTTCCCCATCAGGGAACATACCTAGGTTGTGGGTTCGTTCCCCGGTCAGGATGTGTACAGGAGGCAACTGTTTCTCTTTCTCTCCCCCTTCCTTGATAAAATGAATAAAAACATACCCTCAGCTGAGGATTAAAAAACACATAAGACATCCCCCAGCTTTTAAACGTAATTGTCCTGCTCTCAGCCCACTTCAGCATTTTCTCTGCGTAACCCACACCTTCTGGTGTCTTTCAGGCTGGGAGACTACAGTGGAAGGGGAGCAGTTACCCCCAAAGTCAGCTGTTCCTGCGGCAGAACCAGCCCCCGACCTGAAAGTGGAAGAGCTCTCGGGGGCCGAGGCCCAACCCTCTACCTCAGCGGAGGCCCCGCAGGGGGCGGCCCTGGAAGTTGGGGACACGGCATTGCCGCCCGTGGGGCTGGCCCAGGAGGAAGCCCTCTCTGAGAAGCAGCACCACGAAAGCCCCAAGTCCCCAGCAGACAGGGGTCTCGCCACAAGCCGCGCCTCCCTCCGGAAAACTCTGCCCCGGAAAAGCTTGCGCAGGCATAGCTCACGCATCAGAAAGGCAGCGCGTGATTCCCAGGTAAAAACCCAGCAGAGCCGCCAAGGGGGCAGAGCTCGGGAAACCAGGAGCACCCCGCAGGTCACGTTCATACGGATCCACAAGGGGAGCCAGGTGTTCCGCTGCAGCGCGTGTAGCAAACTGTTCCGGAACCCCAGGTACTTCTCCGTGCACAGAAAAATCCACACGGGAGAGAAGCCCTACGTGTGCCAGTACTGCGGGAAGGCCTTCATCCAGAGCTCCTCCCTCACGCAGCACCAGAGGATTCATACTGGAGAGAGGCCGTTCAAGTGTCGAGAGTGTGGGCGGACCTTCAATGACCGCTCGGCCATCTCCCAGCACCTGAGGACTCACACCGGAGCCAGGCCCTACCTGTGCAAGTTCTGCAACAAGACTTTCCGCCAGAGCTCCCACCTCATCCGCCACCAGAGGATCCACACTGGGGAGCGCCCCTATGTCTGCGACAGATGCGGGAAGGCCTTCACCCAGAGCTCACACCTCATCGGGCACCAGAAGACGCACAGTGGGGCTAAACGCAAGAAGAGACACCGGTCTAGCGCTAACGCCAGTTGATGAGACGCTGCCTTCTCAGCCCAGTCCTGCACCAGAACCTGAGTGGCGTGGTGGGACTCAGGCCTGACCCCAAAGCACTGAATGACGGTGTTCTCAAGACCAAAGGACCGCCAGGGGCCCCGTCCTGCACACACAGGTGACGTGGGCATCGTCGATAATGAATGTGACAGCTGGAAAACAGATCTAGTTTTTTACTCAATGGATTTGCAGTTATGATTTGGTCATTACGAGGGATGTTACTGAAAGCTAAGTGCTTACAATGAAGTGGGTGCACTGATATTTGTAGTAAAGTATTTATGTGTATGAACAAGGACTAAAAGAGAAGATGGATAAGTAAACTATATTTCTGTGGTAGAATCTGTGTGGGTATTTTCCTATTCAAATACCCTTCATTATTGTTTTGATAAATAAGCAATGTTAACACACAAGAATGGAGCCCTGGCAGGCAGCTCAGTTGGTGGAGCATCGTCCCATTCACCAAAAGGTTGCGGGTTGATTCCCAGTCAGGGCGCCTACGGGCAGCAACTGATCAATGTTTCTCTCTCCCCTTTCCTCTCTCTCTAAAGAGTCAATATTTAAAAATCCTCGGGGGGGGGGGCGGGGCGGGTAACAAAATTAATTGGGGTTTTTTTAAAAAAGGATGGAGGTTGTCAGACCAATTCTAGCAGATTCTGTGCAAGGCTGCAATCCCTCCGGCCCAAGATTCCAAGTGAGTCAGGATGAATGTCGTTGCGTCCCTTGTCCCATCAAGATACAGTGAGGTGCAGGGCATGGGGACAGAGAGAGCAAGTCCTAGGGCAGTGATGGCGAACCTTTTGAGCTCGGCGTGCCCGCATTTTGAAAAACCCGAACTTAACTCTGGTGCCGTGTCGCATATAGAAATTTTTTGATATTTGAAACCATAGTAAAACAAAGACTTATATTTTTGATATTTATTTTATATATTTAAATGCCATTTAACAAAGAAAAATCAACCCAAAAAGTGAGTTCGCGTGTCACCTCTGACACGCGTGTCAGGTTCGCCATCACTGTCCTAGGGGCCCAGAGAGCTGGAAACCCCAGGCAAGCATGGACACCTGGGCACGTGCGCTTCACATTTCCACTTCCCTGAGGGCCTCCTGGGAGTGAGGGACGTATTTGACGCCCATGTTTCACATGAGATGACATTAAAATTCTCCAGGTCCAGCTGGGGTGGGTCAGTGGTTGAGCATCAACCTATGAACCAGGAGGTCACGGTTTGATTCCGGGTTAGGGCACGTGCCTGGGTTGCAGGCTTGATCCCCAGTAGTGGGTGTGCAGGAGGCAGCCAATCAATGATTCTCCTCATTGATGCTTCTATCTCCCCCTCCCTTCCTCTCTGAAATCAATAAAAATGTATTTCTTCACAAATTTCTCCAGGTGACAGCCTGTAACCCGCAGCCCATTCTATCCCTTCCTCCACTCCTCCGCCACCTTTGTTCTCCTGAGTTCTGCATAAACATTTCAAAACATTTTCTAAACCCCTGGGTCAGAAGTAATGAACGTTCAGCAGTTGGTGGTTGAGTGCTGCCTGCACGGCCTCTCCAGGCAAAGGGCTCCTGGCTGTGGTATCACCTGTAGTCTTTTCCACGACCTGACATGGTCCTGTTGGCTTGGAGCAATGGGAACATCTGGGTTGAAGAAGTTACGTGGGTGCTGCTGCCCTCCCACTGCATGAGTGGGAGACCTTTCCTAGGAAGAAGGAGCAGTTCTCCTCCGAGAACCAACGATGTAGACGCGCCTCGCCTGGGTGCCCAGCACTGGCTGGTGAGTTCACAGCCATGTCCTCAAACAAGATCCCTTCATCCTAAATGTCACACACTGGTTTGTGGTGAGAAGGTGGTCACTGGAGGTGAGCTGACTGCTTTCCTGTCCGCGGCAGTTTCAAACGTGGCCACAAATCCTTAGCCATTCCTCCCCAGAAACCGCCTGGGCTTGTCCCGGCCAATAGCGGCAGCAGAATAATGCCATGTGACTTCCTTGAGACAAGCTTAGAACAGCGGTTCTCAACCTGTGGGTCGCGACCCCTTTGGGGGTCGAACGACCCTTTCACGGGGGTCGCCTAAGACCATCAGAAAACACATATATAATTACATATTTTGTGATTAATCACTATGCTTTAATTATGTTCCATTTGTAACAATGAAATTGGGGGTCACCACAACATGAGGAACTGTATATTAAAGGGTCGGGGCATTAGGAAAGTTGAGAACCACTGTCTTAGAAGGATGTGGCTCCATCTTCTTTGCTGACACTCTCCCTCCCTCTGGGATGGCTCTGCCAGCCGCCCTGCTCATGCCCTCAGCCCTCACCCTGACAGCCTCACAGCTCCCATAGCCCTGCATGACCAATGGAATTACAGGTCTGTGGTTCTGGCTGGAACATGAGGCCCATGCGGGCAGAGACTGGGTGTGGCTGTGCACTACTCTCCCCTTAAGAAACATTTGCTGGGCCCTGGCAGGGTGGCTCAGTTGGTTAGAGCGTGTCCTGATACCCGCAGGTTGCAGGTTCGATCTCTAGTCAGAGCACACACCAGCAACCAATAAATCATCTGCCTCTCAATCAACAAACCGATCCCCCAACCACAAGCATCTCTCCTCCCGGGATGACCATACCTGGAATTCCATGACACCCCCTCCTCTCAGGGTCCATGGAAAGATCATCCCCTGGTTTAACACTAGAATCACCCAGGAACGGTGTAGATGAGCAACTAAATCATCTGCCCTTAATACCACCCACCCTCAAAGCAAGGAAGAGGCTCCCTTCGTGGTTTTCCACCAGAGATTCCCAATATCAAGGTCTCGGTTTGGTGCTGTTTTTTTAAGCCTCTCTCACACTTGGCAAATAAACCTTTTTTTTTAACAAAATGAACAGGTTTTCATGCCCTAGCAAGTTTGGCTCAGTGGATAGAGCGTTGCCCTGCAGGCTGAAGGGGCCTGGTTTGATTCTGGTCAAGGGCACATACCTAGGTGGCAGGCTCCATCCCTGGCCCTGCTCAGGGCACATATGGGAGGCAACCAATTGATGTGTCTCACATCCATATTTCTCTCTTCTCCTCCCTTCCACTCTCTGAAAATTGAAAAATATCCTCGGGTGAGGATTTAAAAAATAATAAAAAGAACAGGCTTTCAGAGGCAACATAATCTGGCTAAAATTCAAGCAATATTATTTTGTTTCAACTGAATTTAATTCATGTTTGACAAGTGAATGAGTAACTGAAAGACCCCTTTAAAAGTAGTTTTGAGGGTTTTTATTGACACTATTACAGATGTCCCCCATTTTCCTCCTCCACCCAGCCCCACCCCCTGACCTTCACCGCACTGTAGCCTGTGTCCATGGGCTATTTATATATGCACATACGTTCTTTAGCTCATCTCTTCCAGTCCCCTCCAAGGCCCCTTCCCTCTGAGATGTCTGGTCCTTGCATCCATGTCTCTGGACCTATTTTGTTCATCAGGTTCCACATATAAGTGTCTTTCTCTGACTGGCTTATTTCGCTTAGCATCATAATCTCCAGGTCCATCCCTGCTATTGCAAAGTGAAAGAGTTCTTTTTTTTTTAAACAGCCATGTAGTATTCCACTGTGTAAATATACCACTTTTTCTTTTTATCCATTCATCTACTGATGGGCACGTGGGCTATTTCCAGAGCTTGGCTATTGTAAATAACACTGCTATGAATACAGGATATATTGCTAGAAGTGGGATTGCTGGGTCAAATGGAGGAGTTTTGAGTTTTAACAAGTGAGTGGATTTAGAGATTATTAAGCAAATCAAATGGCGAGTACCAGACACGGCAAAACCCGAGGATGGAAGTGGATACCCAGTTTGAGAGGCCTTTCCTAGCAGCCCCCACACGGCTCCCCTTTGCTGTTCCCCTGCAGTCAGGCATGCCCTTGGGTGTGGTCCCCCAAGATTTCTCAGTTCCTTCAACTAAGTTTATGCTCAGGGCACCAACTCTAGCCCCTCCAATTCTCCCCCTCCCAATGGCTGAACGAAACCAAACTCTACTTGAGCAAACGCCCCTAGCCTGTGCCAGGCCAGCATGGTGGGCAAGGGAAGCTGGGAGGGACGGGCGGTGACCACCCTGGGCCTCCAGCACAAGGTGCGTCCCCGGGTCCCTTCCTCAACTGTGGCTGGACGGTCAGATAGGCCTGCATTCTAGGCTGTTTGACTGAACCTGGGAAGTTCCGGTGGGAACGGGGTCCCAGATTCACCATGTGCCCTGGCCCTCCAGTTCAGCCCCCCCCCCAACGCCCAAGGGCCCTCAGACCAGCCCGAGGGACCATTTACTTTAGCTCACAGATTCACCATGTGCCCTGGCCCTCCAGTTCAGCCCCACCCCGCGCCCAAGGGCCCTCAGACCAGCCCAAGGGACCATTTACTTTAGCTCGGCCCGGTCAACAACCCCTAGGCAGGCTTGACACCTACCTCCTTAGCACCCAGAGAACCACCCACTCCCCGTTCAACCTGAGGCCTCCCCTACCTAGAGACACCCCTATAGCCCGGCCAAGACCCCCTTCCCAGCCCAGGAGTCCTGGAGACCTCATCTCCCCGCTCCCAGCCAACCGTCCACCCTCTACAGGAAGGGGACACTGTCTCCCCGCACCAGGCCAGGAGCCCCCAGGCCCAGGCCCTTTGCCACCGCCGTCCCGCACACTTTCTGGGAGACTCCCTGAGGGATGTGGTATCACCCCCGTTCCCTCTCCCTTCCTCTCTGAAATCAATAAAAAAAATTTTTTTTTTTTTTTTTAAAAAGAGTTATCCTTTGGAATGTAGATTCCAGACTTTCTGGAATACACACATTGCAGGGTCATGGTAGCAAGTAACAAGTATCTGTGAGTAGGAAGGCAATGGCTGTTGGGCAAAGCAACCAACAAGGTGGGTCCCCGGTGAGTGCCTGGAGCACCCCAGGCACAGGAGCACAATCCAGGCCAGGAGCTCAGGAGGACGCGTGTCTCAGGAGATGGGGAGTGGCTCCCACCAATCGGCTGCCTGGGAAGATGTCCTTCTTGCAGAGCCAGGGCGGGTGTCCGGTCTGTGTCCTACACACCGTGCAATGACCGACTCTACAAGCGACGGCCCTACCGGCCCTCCCTGCAGCCAACAGGCTCCAATCGGCCAGGACTCGGTGGTCCCAGCCCAGGCGCGGCGGCTCGGTGCGTTGGAGTGTCATCCGGTAAACCAAAAAGGTGGCGGGTTCGACTCCCGGTCCGGGGCATCTATACCTGGGTTTCGGGTTCCCTCCCAGGTCGGGGTGCGTGCAAGGAGGCAACCGACGGATGCTTCTCACATCCATGTTTCTCTCTCCCCCACACTCCCCATTCTTTAAAAAGA